GTGGAGGAGGTTGGTTCTTTTTTTTTCACCATGTATGTTCGTGGCAATTGAACAAAGGTCGTCAGGCCTTGGTGGCAAGCCTGATTGATCTCACTGACTCTAAATAGTTTATTCTTTAAAAAACATTTTTTTATATTTGTTTGTTTATATGGGTATGTACAATGTGCATGGAGGTCTAGAATGCATGTACTATGGCCTGTGTGTGGAGGACAGGGGAGTTGATTCTTTCTTCCACTATGTGGGTCCTGGGGATTGAACTCAGGTTATCAGGCTTAGCAGCAGGCACCTTACCCACTGAGCTATCTCCATGGCCCAGTTTATTCTTTTAAGTACTTATAATTTTGCTTTTATTTTTCAAATCATTTTCTTCAAAGTCAAGATGCATCTGAAAAATCTCAGGATTGTGATACACAATTTAAAGCAAAGCGTGATTTTCTAATGAGTGGTTTGCCAGAGTCATTGAAACGACAAATTGCAAAGAAAGCTGCTGCACTGGATATATACAGTGCAGTGAGTACCAGTTTCCAGAGAGTCGTTCATGTGCAACAAAAGGATGATGGTAGGTTTTATTACTTTATTTAAATTTTATTTCTATGTGTGTGAATGTTTTACCTATATCTATGTATGGACCACATGTTTGCCTAGTGTCAGCAGAGGCTAGGCTAACACCTTTTTTTTTAAAAAAACCAAGGTCTTACTTTGTAGTCCAGGCTGGCCTCAAAATCTTATTATCTGTAAGGTGGTTGCTAAAAGAGTGGGCTAGGGAGGTAGTTCATTAATAGAACACTCACCTTCATATGGAAAGCTATGGGTTTACTCACCAGCACAACAACAAAAGGTAAAAGTGAGACTAAGCTCCAGGCACAGAGGCACACACCTGCCATCCAAACATTCCTGGGAGGCTGAGACAGGAGGATCAACGTTTTGAGACCAGCCTGGGCTGCATAGAGAGATTATTAAAAAAGAAAAAAAGGGCTTAGATTTCCTGGCCTCATAGCGTTCTTGTGGTGTTTGTTTTGTTTTGTTTTTTTAATTTTTATTTCATGTGTTTGAATGTACTGCCTGCATGTAGGTAAGTGCACCTGTGCCGTGCAATGCCCAAGGAGGACAGAAGAGGCCGTTGGATCCCCTGGAACTGGAGTTACCGACCATTGTTAGCTGCCATGTGGGTGCTGGGATACGAACCCGGGTCTTCTGTAAGAACAACCAGTGTTCTTAACCACTGAGCCATCTCCCCAGCCCCTCTTGTGGTGATTTTAGTGGAGGTTACAAGTATGTGTTTTATCCTCTTTTCCTCATTTATTGAGGATGGGAGCTTGTAGACAAGGAAGCCAAAGAGATCCTTACCCCATCTCTTATGTTGTCCTTTCATCCCTGATGTAAGGGATCTTCAGTAGATGTTTTTCTCAGAAAGATGTACATGGTGGGGAGGAGGGCTAGAGAGACGGCTTAGTGGTTAAGAGCATTGGCTGCTCTTGCATGGCAACTAACAACTGTTCATAAATCCAGTTCCAGGGGATCTGATGTCTTCTTCTGATCCCTGTGGGCATTACACATGGGTGCACTTCCATACGTGCATGCAATACACTCATATACATAAACTAAGATAAAAATAATAAATACAATATTTTTTTATTGAAGAGATGTATACTAAAAGGTCCATGTGTGAGCAGATCATTTAAAATTTTTTAAAATTTATTTTTATGTATATGAATGTTAAGTGTGCATGATGTATCTTCACATGTGAGAATGTGAGCTTATGCTGGCCATGGCATGCATATGGAGGTCAGAGTACATCTTGAGGTGCTGGTTCTCATCTTCTACTTTGTTTGAAATATGGTCTCTTGTGGGGCGTGGTGGCACAGGCCTTTAATCCCAGCACTTGGGAGGCAGAGGCAGGCAGATCTCTCTGAGTTCAAGGCCAGCCTGGTCTACAAAGTGAGTTCCACACCAGCTAGGGCTACAGGAAGACTGTCTCAAAAAGACAAAAAAAGAAAAAGAAGAAAGAAAGAAAGAAAAAAGAAATATGGTCTCTTTGTTGTTCTTCAGTTTTTAGTTATTGATAAAGACTATTATTCCTGCGTAGTATTTGTTCTTTACTTTTGGCCTTTGTAACTCCAAAACAGTTCAGGTAATTTTGAAGTTCTGTTTTGTGCTTTATCCCTGCCCATGAAATGTGTGTTGTGTTTTCCTCTCCCTTCTTTTCCTTTTGATACTCTGTAAGTTTTATTTAGTCTCTTTTTTGTATGTTTTGTTTTGTTTTATTTTGTTTGGGACAGAGTCCCAGGCAGGTTCACAACTAGTAGCAATCCTCCTGCCTCTGCTTCCTCCTTAGTACTGAAATTACAGGCGTGTGCTGCCACTATCAGGCCCAGCTCTTCAGTCCTTATAATATTTCTTCAGCTTTTCCTTATTTATTGTTTCTGCCACTGACCATTCAGTAAATGAGGCTTTTTTTTTGCTGCTGTTACTAGTACAGCTTCATGTAGCTTTTCTTATTGTCTTTTTGAAGTACTGGGTTAGAACCTTGGGCCTTAAGTATGCTAGGCAAATGCTGTGCCACTGAACTATATCCCCAGCTCAGTACTTTTTAGTATGTTGCAGAAATTAGGTAAGTTTTTCATTCCTGATTGTGATAAATCCATTTTCATAGGAATACTACTATAAAACAGCATTTGTCCTTGTGAGCAAATAAGGCAGTCAACAGAGGGAGCTACTTTCTCTTTCAGCCTTAGGAATTACTTATTTTATTTTTTAGATATTTTATTATTTTTATTTTTATTTATTCTTCTTATGTGTATGAGTATATTGCCTGCCTGTATATAAGTACACCCATGTTGTGCAATATCCATGGAGGTCAGAAGAGGGCACTGGATTGGCCTGGAACTGGATTTATGAACGGTTGTTAGTTGCCATGTAGTTGCTGGGAGTTGAACTCAGGTCCTCTACAAAAGCAGCCAGTGCTCTTAACCACTGAGCCATCTCTCCACCCCCTATCTTTATTTTCTTATGTGTATGAGTGTATTGCCTGCACGTATATAAGTGCACCTGTGTCATGCAATGCCCTTGGTGGTCAGAAGAGGGCATCAAATTCCTGTAGAACTGGAGTTATAGACAGTTGTTAGCTGCTATGTGGGTGCTGGGAATTGAACCTGGGTCCTCTGCAAGAGCAGCCAGTGCTCTTAACTGCTGAGCCACCTCTCCAGTCCTTTTCTTTATTTTCTTATGTGTATGAGTGTATTGCCTGCACGTATATAAGTGCACCTGTGTCATGCAATGCCCTTGGTGGTCAGAAGCGGGCATCAAATTCCTGTAGAACTGGAGTTATAGACAGTTGTTAGCGGCTATGTGGGTGCTGGGAATTGAACCTGGGTCCTCTGCAAGAGCAGCCAGTGCTCTTAACTGCTGAGCCACCTCTCCAGTCCTTTTCTTTATTTTCTTATGTGTATGAGTGTATTGCCTGCACGTATATAAGTGCACCTGTGTCATGCAATGCCCTTGGTGGTCAGAAGCGGGCATCAAATTCCTGTAGAACTGGAGTTATAGACAGTTGTTAGCGGCTATGTGGGTGCTGGGAATTGAACCTGGGTCCTCTGCAAGAGCAGCCAGTGCTCTTAACTGCTGAGCCACCTCTCCAGTCCTTTTCTTTATTTTCTTATGTGTATGAGTGTATTGCCTGCACGTATATAAGTGCACCTGTGTCATGCAATGCCCTTGGTGGTCAGAAGCGGGCATCAAATTCCTGTAGAACTGGAGTTATAGACAGTTGTTAGCGGCTATGTGGGTGCTGGGAATTGAACCTGGGTCCTCTGCAAGAGCAGCCAGTGCTCTTAACTGCTGAGCCACCTCTCCAGTCCTTTTCTTTATTTTCTTATGTGTATGAGTGTATTGCCTGCACGTATATAAGTGCACCTGTGTCATGCAATGCCCTTGGTGGTCAGAAGCGGGCATCAAATTCCTGTAGAACTGGAGTTATAGACAGTTGTTAGCGGCTATGTGGGTGCTGGGAATTGAACCTGGGTCCTCTGCAAGAGCAGCCAGTGCTCTTAACTGCTGAGCCACCTCTCCAGTCCTTTTCTTTATTTTCTTATGTGTATGAGTGTATTGCCTGCACGTATATAAGTGCACCTGTGTCATGCAATGCCCTTGGTGGTCAGAAGCGGGCATCAAATTCCTGTAGAACTGGAGTTATAGACAGTTGTTAGCGGCTATGTGGGTGCTGGGAATTGAACCTGGGTCCTCTGCAAGAGCAGCCAGTGCTCTTAACTGCTGAGCCACCTCTCCAGTCCTTTTCTTTATTTTCTTATGTGTATGAGTGTATTGCCTGCACGTATATAAGTGCACCTGTGTCATGCAATGCCCTTGGTGGTCAGAAGCGGGCATCAAATTCCTGTAGAACTGGAGTTATAGACAGTTGTTAGCGGCTATGTGGGTGCTGGGAATTGAACCTGGGTCCTCTGCAAGAGCAGCCAGTGCTCTTAACTGCTGAGCCACCTCTCCAGTCCTTTTCTTTATTTTCTTATGTGTATGAGTGTATTGCCTGCACGTATATAAGTGCACCTGTGTCATGCAATGCCCTTGGTGGTCAGAAGCGGGCATCAAATTCCTGTAGAACTGGAGTTATAGACAGTTGTTAGCGGCTATGTGGGTGCTGGGAATTGAACCTGGGTCCTCTGCAAGAGCAGCCAGTGCTCTTAACTGCTGAGCCACCTCTCCAGTCCTTTTCTTTATTTTCTTATGTGTATGAGTGTATTGCCTGCACGTATATAAGTGCACCTGTGTCATGCAATGCCCTTGGTGGTCAGAAGCGGGCATCAAATTCCTGTAGAACTGGAGTTATAGACAGTTGTTAGCGGCTATGTGGGTGCTGGGAATTGAACCTGGGTCCTCTGCAAGAGCAGCCAGTGCTCTTAACTGCTGAGCCACCTCTCCAGTCCTTTTCTTTATTTTCTTATGTGTATGAGTGTATTGCCTGCACGTATATAAGTGCACCTGTGTCATGCAATGCCCTTGGTGGTCAGAAGCGGGCATCAAATTCCTGTAGAACTGGAGTTATAGACAGTTGTTAGCGGCTATGTGGGTGCTGGGAATTGAACCTGGGTCCTCTGCAAGAGCAGCCAGTGCTCTTAACTGCTGAGCCACCTCTCCAGTCCTTTTCTTTATTTTCTTATGTGTATGAGTGTATTGCCTGCACGTATATAAGTGCACCTGTGTCATGCAATGCCCTTGGTGGTCAGAAGCGGGCATCAAATTCCTGTAGAACTGGAGTTATAGACAGTTGTTAGCGGCTATGTGGGTGCTGGGAATTGAACCTGGGTCCTCTGCAAGAGCAGCCAGTGCTCTTAACTGCTGAGCCACCTCTCCAGTCCTTTTCTTTATTTTCTTATGTGTATGAGTGTATTGCCTGCACGTATATAAGTGCACCTGTGTCATGCAATGCCCTTGGTGGTCAGAAGCGGGCATCAAATTCCTGTAGAACTGGAGTTATAGACAGTTGTTAGCGGCTATGTGGGTGCTGGGAATTGAACCTGGGTCCTCTGCAAGAGCAGCCAGTGCTCTTAACTGCTGAGCCACCTCTCCAGTCCTTTTCTTTATTTTCTTATGTGTATGAGTGTATTGCCTGCACGTATATAAGTGCACCTGTGTCATGCAATGCCCTTGGTGGTCAGAAGAGGGCATCAAATTCCTGTAGAACTGGAGTTATAGACAGTTGTTAGCTGCTATGTGGGTGCTGGGAATTGAACCTGGGTCTTCTACAAAAGCAGCCAGTGTTCTTTAACTCCTGAGTTATCTCCAACCACTATTATTGTTATTATTTTAATGATTTTACTTTTATTTTATGTGTTTGAGTGTTTTGCCTGAGTGTAAGTGCACTACCTATGGATGCCAGAAGGGAGTGTCAGATCACTTGGAACTGGAGTTAAGGCTGGTAGTTAGCCACATCTGGGTGCTGGAAACTGATCCCGTGTTCTCTGGAAGAGCAATCAGTGCCCTTAACCCCTGAACCATCTCTCTAGCCCAATCTTAGGAATTATTATTTACTATTATCTGGAATTCTGCTGAACAATTCATATGCATAACTAGTTTAATCCCCTGAACAAGTCTAAAAGGTTGAGGGTCATATTATGATATTGTAGATGAAGATACCAAACTTTGGGATCTTGCCCATACTTGTAAGAATATAAAGTGACAGACTCTAGATCTGAGTCCAGATATGACTCATGTTTGGCATGGTAGCATACTCTAAAAATCATAGCATTTAGGAGACTGAAGCATGAGTATCTACTTCATGGCCAGTCTAGGCTACATAGTAAGCTCAGTGCCAGCCAGAGCTCCACAGTGAGGGTGTGTCTAAAAACAAACAAAACCCAAAAACCTTAGACTCTAAATCAGGATACTAAATGTTAGGGTTTGAGAATCGAGACTAATTCCCACAGATACCCAAAAAGATTATACAAAAAGTTTATTCAAGAATTTAAAGTAAAAAAGGACAACAACCAAATGGCGGCTAGCCGGGCACAGACTTCACAAGCCAAAGATGGAGTCTGGCCTCAAACAGTAGCAGGCAGGAGCTTTTATTGGGGCACTCCACAGAAACCCATGCGTGCCAAGCATCTTTTTAAAATAATTGGATGTCCCCATATCCTGTGTATGGGGAAAGTCTTGATTGGTAGGGGCTGTCTTCATGGCATTGGACAATGTGCTGACTAATATCTTTTAGAGTCAGAAGTTTTTGTTTATACCTTATAAGGCTTTACATGTACAATATGCCTGAGCTTGTCTGGGCTTGTCTAAAGAAGCTAGCCAAAATGGAGTCAGAGCATTCTGGCCCTTCACTAACTGTACCTAAATTTTTTGTTTTATTACAAATTTGCTTGTTTTTATGTGCATGAGTGTTCTCTTACATGTATGTATGTATACCACATGCATGCCTGATGCCTGCAGAGGCCAGAAGGGAGCATCATATTTCTTTGAACTGGTTGTAAGCTGCCACATGGCTTTTGGGAACTGAATCCAGGTTCTCTGCAAGAGCAGGATGTGCTCTTAACTACTAAGCCATCTCTCTTGCCCCTGACCTAGAATTTTTATCTTGCATATCAAAGTTGATTTTTTTTTTTTTTGTCTTTTTGAGACAGGGTCTCTTTGTAGCCCCAGCTGTCCTGGAACTTACTAGACCACGCTGGCCTCGAACTCACAAAGATCTGCCTGCCTCTGCCTCCCAAGTGCTGGGATTAAAGGCATACGCCACCATGCCCAGTGAGCTTTTTAAAAATATTTTATTATTTTTATTTTTTATGTGTATAGTGTATTGCCTGCATGTATATGAGTGCACCCGGGTCATGAATGCCACAGAGTTCAGAAGAGGGCTTCAGATTCCCCTGGAACTGGAGTTAAGAACGGTTCATAGCCGCCATGAATTGAACCCGAGTCCTCTGCAAGAGCAGTCAGTGCTCTTAACCGCTGAGCCATCTCTCCAGCCCCACCTTGTATATCAAAGTTGATTTTTTAGAAAAATGAGTTTGCTGATATTTGCTCATTTTTAACAAATTTGTGGAAAGATAAGGTAATTTTTTGGTATTTGTTAAAGGTCTATATTTTTTTCCTGAGACAGGGTCTTGCTATGTAGCCCAGACTGGCCTCATGCTCTCAGTCTTGCCTCTATCTCTCAGGGGTTGGGGATTAGAGTTGTGTCTCATCACCATGCTATATGAGCTATGCCTTTTGTTCCCTCTGTATTCATCTGAGTGTTTGGTACTTTTGTGTTAACTATCTAGGAATTTTTTTTTCTTGATATTGTTGGGAATTGAACTCAGGGTCTCATGCATAGTAGGATTAATCTGTCCTTTTAAATTTGCATATTTGATAATTCAGTAAATGCTGCATTACAATAACTTACAATAATTTTTTTTTTTAGAGTATTGGTTATGGCATTTGAAACAACCCTCTTGTCCTTTATTAACTACATTTAAAGAATTGAATACTAAAGTAACAGATCACTCAAAATGTGTTATTGCTCTTGGTGAATTTTCAACATTGAATTCAAATCCAAAAAGTAATTCTGCTGTTGTGGTAAGTACCAAAGGACCCATCCATGGTAGGGTATGATTCCTTTGTGATTTTCGGAGGAAACAAATGTATATCTGCTATTATAGCCTAGGGTTTGTTCTTTGCCTAGGGTCTAATAGTAGAGCCAGGCATGTTGGTCCATACGTATAATCCCAGCACTTGGAAGGCTGAGATAGATAGATCATGTATTTAGGTCAACCTGGGCTACATAGTAAGATCCTGTTTTACAGGAAACACACACATGCACACAAAAACAAAAACAGGAAAAAGGAGGAAAATGATCAGTTTTGACAGAAATATTATATAGCACATTTAAATACTTTGTAAATCAGAATTACAGTTTAATTAAGGTGTAAACTATAAGTAGTTGAAAGAAAAATATAAAAATATATAGTAAGCCCTTTAAAAGCTATGCAAATACAGCCTTGTATTTAGTGACTAAAGCTAATCTTGCCTGATACTTTTTCTGGACAATAAGTATTCGGTAGGATTGTGTTACTCTACATCTTCTTCTTCATTGTAGTTTATGAGTACAAGGAAAGATTTCACTAAAGAAGTAAGAAATCTTTTGCTGGAGGAAATTATGTGGTCAAATCCTGAATTTTCTTTGAGAAAATATTTTCCCTTGCTTCTGAAAAAACGAATTGAGCACCAGGTACTTTCTGAGTGTCAAGGTAAACAAGGTTAGTGATAAATCTTATCATTTATGTTAATATTTCAGTTTGGAAACATGAAGACCTAACCTTTGACTCTTAGAAATGGTCCACACAGACAGAACTTGGCTGCCAGTTGGCAAGGAAGACTAACCGATGGAAAGTGTCTTACATAGTACTGTGTTAGTGCCTGCCAACTTCTAGTGATGCCAACCCAGGAGGCTTTCATTAGGTTAAAATATTAATCATTGGGCCAGGCATGGTGGCGATGTCTTTGATCCCAGCATTCTGGAGGCAGAAGTAGGTGGATCTCTGTGCATTCGAGGCCAGCCTCGTCTGCATAGTGAGATGCTGTCTCAAAAAAGAAAAAAAAGTTAATCATCCATTTAAGAAAGCCTTACATGAGCTAATTCCAACTTATATATCTTTTTTTTTTTTTTTTTCCCCTGTAGCCCCAACTGTCCTGGATTCACCATGGAGACCAGGCTGGCCTCGAACTCACAGAGATCCGCCTGCCCCTGCCTCCTGAGTGCTGGGATTAAAGGCGTGCGCCACCACACCCAGCCCCAACTTATACATCTTTTTAAAAAATATTTTACTTATATTTTTATTTTATGTCTACAAGTGTATTGCCTGCATGTATGTGAGTGTACCCATGTTATGCAATGCCACAGAGGTCAGAAGAGGGCTTCAGATTCCCCTGGAACTGGAGTTAAGGATGGTTCATAGCTGCCATGTAGGTGCTGGGAATCGAACCCAGGTCCTCTGCAAGAGCAGTGAGTGCTCTTAACTGCTGAGCCATCTCTCCAGCCCCTAACTTACGTATCTTATATGAAAGTCATTCTAAATATTGAGATCTCCAGCTGACTTTCATTATATAATATTCAGTTATTTTCATCTCAATGTCATGAGACTAGGATATTTGGAAGTGGTATGAAGAATTCTAGGTACTGAAAATTGTTTTTGTTAGCTGGGAGTGGTGGTGCACACCTTTAGTCCCAGCACTCAAGAGGCAGAGGCAGGTGAATTTCTGTGAGTTCAAGGCCAGCTTGGTCTTGTTACATAGTGAGTTCCAGACCAGCTGGGGCTACAGGGAGACCCTGTCTCATAAAGGCCAAAAAAATCAATCAATCAATCAATCAATCAATAAATAAATAAAAATTAGAAAGAAAATTGTTTTTGTTGATAAATAAGCACGTGTGTTTCTATAATTTCACAAATAGAAAGTTCACAACTACAGCCTGATATCAGTCATAAAGAAACCAAAAGGAAACGAGTGGAAATAGGAAGCCAGAAGTCAAAAAGAAGGAAACCAAATGAATATTCAGTAAGTTCAGAAATGATAAATGGGAAGTCAGAAGAGCTTGACAAAAGAAACAACTCTCCTGGGATAAAGCACAATTCTTCCAAAGGTATATTTTCTACAATCATGAGGAAGCTAACTACTTTGAGTACATGTAAAGTGGACACAAAGTGGTAGATGATGGTATTCTGATAATAGGTGAGGATAGTCAGTAGCTGAAATACCTTTTCTGACAAATTGGATTTTTTCCATCCCATCCTCGAGTGCCCAGGTGCTGTGATCAAAGGCATGTACCACCACCCCGGGCCTGTGCTTCCTTTTTAAAGTGAACTATTAGTTTCTGTACCCACCTACATCCCATTGAGATTTTGAATTCGCATTTGTTTGTTCATTAGTTTGGAGAGAAATTGGCATCTTTACTGTCTTCAGTTCTCTCTGTTGGTGGCGTATCATTTGTCTCTTTGTCCAGGTTGACTTCATAGATGATATGCTGCTTTTCTTCTTTAGCTTATTGGTTTTTGTGCTACAAATTATTCTTCATAGTTCTTATTTAAGTGGTTATTTAAAAATGTAATGTGCACTTTTTACTACATTACTCATGAAATTTTATGATGGTTAATTTTTTAAAATTTTTATTTATTTTTATTTTATGTGTATGCATGTATTGCCTGCATGTAGGTAAGTGTACCTGTGTCGTGCAGTGCCCGCAGAGGTCAGAAGAGGCTGTCGGATCCCCTGGGACTGGAGTTATTGTTAACTGCCATGTGGTTGCTGGGATTCGAACCCGGGTCTTCTGCAAGAACAACCAGTGTTCTTAACCACTGAGCCATCTCTCCAGCTCCATGATGGTTAATTTTTTTAAGGCAGTAGAGTTTAAATTTAAAATGTAATGTTTTAAAAATCCATTTTTGCCGGGTGTGGTGGCACATGCCTTTAATCCCAGCACTCAGGAGGAGGCAGAGGCAGGTGGATCTCTGTGAGTTTGAGGCCAGCCTGGTCTACCTAGTGAGTTCCAGGCCAGCTGGGGCTACTGGGAGACCCTGTCTCAAAAAAGGCCAAAAAAAGAAAAAATCCATTTTTGCATTTTATAAACATAACTATCTCTACAGATGCCTATTATTGCATTTATAATATTGTAAATGTTTCAGAATGTATGCATATATCAATGAATAAATAATAATGTATTTATTTTTTTGCTTTAGATTCTGGAACTGAAGACATGCTTTGGACAGAAAAATACCAACCCCAGAATGCAAATGAGCTCATAGGCAATGAGCTGGCTATAAAAAAGTTATATAGGTTGGTAGAATTTGTAAAGAAATTGAGAAGTAGTTTATGAATTTAGTTTTACTATTTATTCAGACCAAAATTTATAAGTTACAAAATAATATACTCTGTGGGAAAGTCTTTGAAAAATAATTTAGATAAAAAGTTTTTCTTGAAATTTGCAGGGTTTATACTGAGTTCAATATTGTATGGCTATTAATTCAACTGTGAACCTAAAAATTTACAGCCACCTTTGAAAGAGATGTATCCTTGCTCTGGAATGTGTTACTGAATATGTTAAAGCTTTAATGAAATGCTTCTTTTAATCATGTGGTTATTAAATTAAAAAAAAATTTTTTTTTAAAGTTTTTCTTAGCTGAGTATGGTGACGCACACCTTTAATCCCAGCACTCAGGAGGAGACAGAGGCAGGTGGATCTCTGAGTTTGAGGCCAGCCTGGTCTACATAGTAGGTTCCAGGCCAGCTGGGCTATAGGGAGACCTTGTCTCAAAAAGATTAAAAAAAAAAAGTTTTTTTTGGCTAGGCATGGTAGTACTACATACCTTTAATACCAGCACTACAGAGGGAGAGGAAGGTAGATAGATCTCTGTATGACGCCAGCTTCATATATAGTGAGTTCCAGGCCAGCCAGACAATCCTGTATCAAAAAACTTTTTGTTTATTATTTTTATTTTATGTGTATGAGTGTATTGCCTGCATGTAGGTAGGTGTGCCCATGTGCAATGTCAGCAGAGGTCAGAAGAGGGCATTGGATCCTCTGGAACTGGAGTTACGGTTATTAGCCTCCATGTGAGTGCTAGGAAGCTAGGAATTGAACTTGGGTTCTCTGCAAGAGCAATCAGTGCTCTTAACCACTGAGCCATCTCTCAGCCCTCAAAACATACACATGTACAAAAAAAAATGTTATTTTCTTACATTTTTATTTATTTTTATTTAATGTGTATGAGTGTACCCATGTTGTACAGTGCCCACAGAGTTCAGAAGAAGGTGTTGGATCCCACTGAAACTGGAGTTAGGATGGTTGTTAGCTGCCATGGGAGTGCTGGGAATTGAATTCCAGTCCTCTGTAAGAGCAGCCAGTGCTCCTAACTGCCAAGCCATTCCTCCAGCCCTTGAAACTTTCTTATAAAATTTTCCAGAAGAAATTGTAGGGGCTGGCCATAGTGGTGAGTACCTGTAATCCCAACACTCTGGAGATCGAGGCAGGAAGATCAGGCTCAAGGCCAACTTCAACTACATTACAAGTTTTAGGCCAACCTGGGTTATTTGACACTCTATCTCAAAAAAAATTGTATGCATATTATTAATTCCTACATTCTTTTTTTTTGAAAATATTTTATTTATTATTTTTATATGTATATGTATATTGCCTGCATGTAGGTAAGTGTACCCGTGTTGTGCAATGCCTGTGGAGGACAGAAGAGACTGTCAGATCTCCTGCAACTGGAGTTACGGACAGTTGTTAGCTGCCATGTGGGTGCTGGGATTCAAACCCAAGTCTGCAAGAACAGCCAGTGTTCTTAACTGCTGAGCCATCTCTCCAGCCCCTAATTCCTACATTCTAACCAGTGGAATCATGTTACTCTTAATTCAAGTTGACAGTTCCCTAAGTTCTGAAAACTGAAATTTATTAGCTTTATAAAGTTCATTATAATAGGTCTTCATTGGTTACTTTTAGTACTAATTCAAATTACCTTTTTAGAGCCAGGTCTCATGCTCCATCCCTGTAAACCTAGCATTTGGAAGGTTCAGGAAGGAGGATTACTGTGTTCAAAGTCAGCCTGGGCAACATAGCTAAACCCTGTCTCAAAAAAATACACAAATAGGGGCCATCAAAATGGCTCGGTGAGTAAAGGCTTTTGCCACCAAGCCCTACCTAAGTTTGATCCCCCTAAACTCTAAGGGAGAAAGAGAAAACCAGCTGCTGGAAGTTGTCTTCCAACCTCTACACACAGATTCAGACATATATACACCATACACATATACACAAAATAGATAAATACATATTGAAAGTAAATAAAAACTAAATTACCTCTATAATTTTTTTGTTTTGAGACAGGCTCTCCTATAGCTGAAACTGGTCACAGACTCTTATGTGTAGCTGAGGATGATCTTGAACTCTTTTTTTTTTTTTTTAGTTTTTTTTTTTTTTTTTTTTTGTTTTTTTTTTTTTTTAGTATTTATTATTTTTATTTTATGTGTATGCATGTATTGCCTGCTTCTAGGTAAGTGCACCTGCGTTGTGCAATGCCTGTGGAGGACAGAAGAGGCTGTTGGATCCTCTGGAACTGGAGTTACAGACAGTTAGTTGCCATGTGGGTGCTGGGATACGAACCCGGATCTTCTGCAAGAACAACCAGTGTTCTTAGTTGCTGAGCCATCTCTCCAGCCCTTGCACTCTTGATCTTCTTGCCTGTGCCTCCCAAGTGCTGGGATTACAGGTGTGTGCTGCTGTGCCAAGCAAATTACCTAAGCCTGAAAACTTCTGAATTCTAAAATCACTTGGCCAAAATAATTTTCTATTTGGACTTTGGATATCTATAATAGTGGCTAATAGCGCTGGGTGTGATGACATGCATCTATAATCTCAGGCCTCCAGAGGCTGAGGCAGGAGGCTCACTAAGAGTTCAGTACTAGCCTGGGCTACAGAATGAGACCCTGACTTAAAAAGCAATAACAAAAACAAAAAAGCTGGGTGTGGTGGTGTATGCCTTTAATCCCAGCACTAGGGAGGTCAAGACAGGCAGATCCCTGTGAGGAGTTTAAGGCTAGCCAGATCTGCATAAGTGATTTCCAGGCCAGTTGGGGCTACGGGGAGACCCTGTCTCAAAAAGACAAAAAAACGGGGTCGGGGGTAGGGCTGGAGAGGTGGCTAGTTGCTTTTGCAGAAGACCCAAGTTCAGTTCCATGCACATACATCAAGTGGCTCACAACTACCTGTAACTCCAGCTCCAGAGGATCTAACACCCTCTTCTATCCTTTGTGGTCACCTGCACACACACGTGTAAATACACAGACACATAAACACATAAATTAAATCTTTAAAAAACAAAATACCATGAGCTTGGTAGTTCCATGTTTTTGCCCTCTTCTTAGTTCATAGAATTCTTAGAACAATATTGTGGGGCTAAATCTTGCCTTCATCTCATCAATGGAGAAATAGGTTTAGACAGCCGTTGAGTTATTTTTCTAGGCTCACATAGCTAGAAAGGAGAGGAGCTGAGATTTATACTCAGGCAGTTTATTTCCAGAATAGAATTTAGTCTTTTCTGCTTATGTTAGACTTTGTTCACAAACTATTTTAGTTTTTTGGGTTTTTTGTTGTTATTTTTTTCCTTTTTTGGACAAGCTTGCCTTGAATTCCCTTTGTCAAAGAGGATGACCTTGAACTTTTGATCCTCCTGCCTCTCACCCACTGAGTTCTGGAATTACAGGGTGCTGGGACCACAAGCATGCACCACCACCCCTGGTTTATGCTAGACATTGAACATAAGGCTTTGTGCATTAGAGGCTAGCACTCTTTCAACGGAGCTACACCCCCAGCTCTGTACTTCAGATTATTTTTATTAACACATTTCTTTTATGACAGTTGGTTGAAAGACTGGAAAAGAAAAGCTGAACTGGAAGAAAAACAGAATTTGAAGGGAAAAAGAGATGAGAAACAGGAAGGTATTTTGAGTTATCTTTTTCCATTTCATTAAACATTTCTAGAGTTAGATTAGCTAAAATTTGTATAAATTTGTATAAAACTACTCTTCGTGAATTCATTTTCTATTATTTATTGGAAAGAAATTTGTGGGATTTAAGTACTAGGTTTTATGATATAGACTTGCTGCCTAAGCAGTTAATGATTTTATATGTCTTTGAATAATTTTTCAGATTTGTCAGATACCATAGACTTCAAGGGCAGTTCAGATGATGAAGGAGAGAGTCATCTTTGCAATACTGTTCTTATAACAGGGCCAACAGGAGTGGGAAAAACTGCCGCAGTCTATGCATGTGCTCAGGAGCTTGGATTTAAGGTTAGTAATAGCTACAGTGAATGTTAATGTATTACCCTTGAACTAAAAAATAAAGTAGCCAGTCATGATGGCCCGTGCCTTTTCTAACATTAAGCAAGAGGATTATAAGTTCAAAGTCAGCCTATGCTATATAACCCTATTTCAAAAAGGAGAAGGGCTGGGGCAATGATATAGTTGGACAAGTGATTGAGGACCTATGTTCAGATCCATAGCACCTATGTGAAAGTCAGCTCAACAGTGCACATCTGTAATCCCATCACTGGGAAAGTAGAGACAGGAGATCCCTGGAGCTCACAGGCAACCAACCTATCTGTGAATACCAGGTTCAGTGAGAGACTTGGTCTGAAAAAATTAGGTGGTAAGAGATTGAAGACGATACCCAAGGTCAACCTCTGACCTCTGGCTCTATGTGCATACACTCACAAGTACATGCACATGAGCATATACAAATATGTACTCACACAAAGTAAAAGAGAAGCTGGGTATGATGGTTCACACTTATTGCACTTTGGAAGCTGAGAATCGAGGGGAGAAGTGCTGAGTTTAAGGCTAACCTTGGCTACAGTGAGAGACCCTGCCTCAAAAAAACAAAACAAAAAGAAAAGAAAAAGTAATTCTGACCTTTTTTTTTTGTATATTCTTTTAGATATTTGAAGTGAATGCCTCTTCCCAGCGAAGTGGTAGGCAAATCCTATCTCAACTGAAGGAAGCTACTCAGTCCCATCAAGTAGATAAGCAAGGTGTAAACTCACAGAAACCCTGTTTTTTTAATAACTTCAATATTGGCAAGTCACCAAGTAAGTAAATTCTTTCCCTTGAGCTGCAACCTTTTGAAGAAATAATTCTGAGAAAATAGTTCTAATTGTTAGTGTTTTGCCATCTCTTTTTTTTTAATCTTTTTCTGAATATTAACATGCTCCCCCTGCCCTAGCTATTCTGAAAAAAAAAATATGAAGACCATCTCATTTTTCTATCCATATCTACTTACATATATATTTCTAAACAATAAAGGCTTTTTAAAGGCATAACAATATTGTCAACCAAACCTAACAACTAATCATATTCCTTGGTATTATTTAAAGCACAGTTTGGTTTTAGTTTTCTGTTGTTTCACATGGTTTGTTCAAATCAGCATCAGCCTAATCTTACATTTGACTAATGTTTGCTTAGGTTTCTTTTAATCTTTAAAACAATTTTCTCCCTTGTATATTGATGTCATTTATTTGTTGAAGAACTTGGTTGTGACTGAACTTCTCATACTCTGACTTTGCCTTTTGAACATATGTTCATAGTATCAATTAATGTATTCCTCTTCCCTGCATTTCTTGTTAACTAATAATTGTGAACTTGATTAGATCCAGGTTCTGTTTTGCTGCTGGACTACAGGAATAGGTAGACTTGTTCCTCCTGTGACATCATGACAGAAGACCTGTCCTACTTCTAGTGATACTAAGATTGACAGACGAGTTCATGTGTTTTCGTTCTGACTCACTGATTATGAAGTTCCCTATCCCATCTTATTGAATGGTACTATGCAGCCGTTAGTAGTCTTTGTGTAATAGACATTATTAGACATTTAAAAATGATGATTTTGTTATTTGGACTCAGTGCATTTATTAGTTGGAATTCTGAGAAGCACCGTTCCTCATCAGCTATTTGAATATTTTGAAATACAGTTGATAGGCATGAGAAACAGTTCTCTTTTTTTTTTCTTTTTTGTTCTTAGAATAATGATATTAGTAATGTAAACTTAATGAGTTTTGTATAGTTTCATAGATACTTGTAGTATTACAAACTTATGAGTTTGTACATATTTAATGTGTTTTAATAATTTGTGTTCATTAGTCTTTGATATTTTCAACTTTTTTTCTTTAAAAACATTTTACACTTATTTTATTGGAGGGGGCATGCAATGGCTTGTGTGGAGGTAAAAGAACAACCTGTGGGAGTCAGTTCTCTCCTTCCACCACGTGGGTCCCAAGGATGGAACTCAAGTTGTCAGCCTCAGCAGCAAGTACCTTTTTTCGTGGAGCATCTGTCCAGCCCAGATTTTTTTCCTTAGTACTAATTTTTTATTATTTATTTATGCTTTTAAGATCGAGTGTTACTATGTAGCCCTGATTGGCCTGGAACTAACTAAATAGAACAGGCTGACCTCCAACTCACAGTGATCCATCTGCCTCTGCCTCCTGATTGCTGGGATTAAAGGTGTGTACCACCACACCTTTATCACTAATTTTAAGCCCTTGATTATGATATGCCATGATACAGGTTTCTTCATGTTTCTTCTACTTAGGGTTTGCTGGGGATTCTTAGATAGAGGACCTTATAGTTTTCATTGCATTTAGAAATTTTCAGCCATTATTTAATGAAATATATTTTTCTCTTCTACTTATAATCCTTTGGCAACTCTAATTTTAGGTATCTTAGACCACTTGAAGATGTCACACATCTTATTAACACTTCATTCAACTTTCCAGACTTTTCCTCTTTGCATCTCAGTTTGAGTAGTTACTGCTATATATTCAAGCTCCTGGATCTTTTCTTCTGCTGTATCTAACATGATTTCAGTGCCATCCAGTATAGTTTTCATTTCTAGAACTTGCATGTGAGTCTTTTTTATACCTTCTGTGTTTAGTTATCATATGTCCTCTGTTTCTTCTAGGCTTTGCACATATGAAATATAGTTGTAACTATTTCAATTGGTTTTTTAGCTATCAAATATTTTTTGTTGTTAAATATTTTATGTATTATTTTTTAAATTTTATGTGTATGAGTGTATTGCCTACACGTATGTGTGAGTGCACCCATGTTGTGCAGTACCCTGGAGGTCAGAATAGGGCTTTGGATTCCCCTGGAACTGGAGTTAAGGATGGTTCATAGCTACCATATGGGTGCTGGGAACTGAACCCGGGTCCTCTGAGAGAGTACTGCTGAGCCCATCTCTCTAGCCCCAGCTATAAAGTTTTTTAAAATTATTTTATATTCTATTTTATGTTTATGAATATATTGTCTGCATGTAGGTAAGGTGGACCCATGTCGTGCAGTGCCCGCCATGGTCAGAAGAGAGCGTTAGAATCCCCTGGCACTGGAGTTACAGATTGTTGTTACCCACCATGGGGGTACTGGGAATTGAATCCAGGTCCTCTGCAAGAACAGCCAGTGTTCCTAACCTCTGAACATCTCTCCAGCCCCGTTTCAGTGTTTTTGTTCACTAATTTTCTCATTTGTATGATTTCTCAGTTCTTTTCTTCTCTCTCTTGCTCATTATGGATTGTATTCTTCTGCTTCTTTGGATGCATGATACTATTTTTTTTTGGTCTTCTTGAGACAGGGTCTCCCTGTAGCCCCAGCTGTCCTGGAACTCACTATGTAGACTAGGCTGGCCTGGAACTCACAGTGATCTGCCTGCCTCTGCCTCCCAAGTGCTGGGACTACAGGTGTGTGCCACCACGCCCAGTGCATGATACTTAAAAAAAAAAAAAGTTATTTATTATTTTTATTTATTATTTTATGTGTATGCGTGTATTGCCTGCATGTAAGTAAGTGCACCCATGTGCAGTGCCTGTGGAGGTCAGAAGAGGCTGTCGGATCCTATGGGAGTGGAGTTACAGACAGTTGTTAGCTGCCATGTGGGTGCTGGGATTCAAACCTGGGTCTTCTGCAAGAACAGCCACTGTTCTTACCCGCTGAGCCGTCCTTCCAGCCCTATTATTTTTATTTTATGTGTATGCATGTATTGCCTGCATGTAGGTAAGTGCACATGTGAGGCTGAGACACATTACAGAACATTATTATCCAATTTCAATTTAGCTCTATCAGTGCTGTAAGCAAGTAGCATGTACAAAGATGTTCGGAGGGTGGGTTCAAAGTTAAAACATAATTGGGTGATCTTTACTACCTGGAAACACTGAGATATTGTTTTCTAGAACTTTCATCCTTGTCTTAGACCTTACATGTCTTAATTATTATACAGCTCCAGAACAGTATTTTCCTCAGTTACTATCTTATGTGCACAATTCTGTAACTGCGTTCTGCGTTTTCTTTTGTTACAGACCCTATTCTTTTACTTACAAGTTAGAGGTATTAGTAAACATACTAAGAATTTTGAGTTTAAAAAGCTATCATAGGGGCTGAAGAGATGGCTCAGCGGTTAAGAAGCGTTGGAATCCCAGCACCCACATGGCAGCTAACAACTGTCCGTAACTCCAGTTCCAGGGGATCCAACAATCTCTTCTATTCTCCAGGGGCATTGCAGGACATGGGTGCACTTACCTACATGCAGGCAACACACACACATAAAGTAAAAATAAGTACAGTTTTTTTAAAAAGTTATCATAGGGGGCTAGAGAGATGGCTCAGAGGTTGGTACTTTGGCAAAGGACCAGAGTTCAGTTCCTAGCAGCCACATGGCAGCTGACAACTGTCTGTAACTTTAGTTTTAGGGAATCCAATCCCCTTTTCTGGTCTCCACAGATACCAGGCTTGTACACTGTGCACGTATATATGCAAGCAAACACTCATACACATAAAGTCTTCAACAGCATGTATTTATGCTAGGTGTTTATTACATGTCTATAGGTCTTTTTTTGTTTGTTTTTTGTTTTTGTTTTTTTTTTGGTCTTTTTGAAACAGGGTCTCCCTGTAGCCCTAGCTGGCCTGGATTCGCTATGGAGACCAGGCTGGCCTCAAACTCACAGAGATCCACCTGCCTCTACCTCCTGAGTGGTGGGATTAAAGGCATGCGCCACCACGCCCAGCTTACATATCTATAATTTTTAAAGTATTTATTATTTTATGTGCATAGGTGTATTCCCTGCCTGTATATAAGTGCATCAAGTACATGCAGTGACCACAGAGGCCAGAAGAGGGATCAGATCCCCTGGAAATGGAGTTATGGACAGTTGTTAGCTGCCATGTGGATACAGGGAATCAAACCCGGGTCCTCTGCAAGAGCAGCCAGTGCTCTTAACTGCTAAGCCTTCTCTCCAGCCCCATATCTATAATTTTTTCACTCAGAATCAGAGACAAGTAGGATCAAAAGTTTGAGGCCAATCTAGGCCACATAGAAAGACACTGTCTCAGTCAATCAAAGAATGTGCATATATTTGGAAAAGAGCATTTTTTTTCAAATAGTTTTTCCTTTCATTCAGTTAGAATAAATACAACAATACAGTAATATCTATACAGAGTATTTGTGTATAAGACTGAAAGAGAATGTCTATGCCTTTGATTTTTATCATGTAAAAATAGAAATACAGAGTGTGGATAAGTATTTTGCTGTACAATTTTTATAATGCTTATTCTTAAATACAATTTGTTTTTCACAGAAAAATTAAATTCCCCTAAGAAAGTTCTTACATCACCAAGGAAGCTCCCTCCATCATCACCAAAATGTAGTGGGCAAAAGCGAGCACTTCCCCCTAAAACCTTGGCAAATTACTTTAAAGTGTCCTCCAAGTCCAAAAATAATGAAGTAGGAGCACTTACGGGAAATGATAAAGGTAAAATGTTAAACTGACAAAGTAAATTGACCTTGGTACATAAAATGTGAACACATTTCATATGTTAAACCTCAGTTACACTGAAGGTCCTACATAGAGGAGTGTCAATGTTTCAATTTTGATAAGGGAATTCAGTTTGAGCTATTCTTTGAAATAGCCAGTATTCTATTAAAAGTAATTTAATCTAAAATATTTTTTTATGCAGGTGTCAAACATTCTTTAGAACAAAGGCAGATTACTCAGACTAAATCTATAAATGCAAATAATTCAAATATTAAAGAATTTGGAGCAGAAGAATCCAACAGGAAAAAAGCAACATCTCTTATCCTCTTTGAGGAGGTAGGCTTACAGAGGACACATTCATGCTGCTTCATGGTAGAAACTTATTTTGATTGTTATGTTTTATGTATATGAGTGTTTTGCCTGTATGTATATAAGTATACCTATATCGAGCAATATCCATGGAAGTCAGATGATGGGGCCAGTTCCTCTGGAACTGGAATTATGGATGGTTGTTAGCTGCCTTGTGGATGCTGGGAACTGAACTCATGTCCTCTGCAAGAGCAGCCAGTGCTTTCAACCATCTCTGCCTGTTTCTGTTTGTGTTTGTTTTGAGAGTTTTATTTATTTGTTTGTTTGTTCTTTGTGAGACAGGGTCTCCCTTTAACCCCAGCTGGCCTAGAACTCACTATGTAGACCAGGCTGGCCTCGAACTCACAGCTATCTGCCTGCCTCTGCCTCTTGAGTGTTGAGATTAAAGGCAAGCTCCACCACACCCAGCCCTAGAATAAGTTTTCTAGGAAAATGATTAATACAATTTCCGAATATTGATTGTTATCTAATAATTATATTATGACTCAAACCTACCTAGATATGGGTGATTGGTTATTTTAGTTTTAATATTTACTATTTGATAATAAAAAAACCTTAATTCTTGCCGGGCGTGGTGGCAACACGCCTGTAGTCCCAGCACTTGGGAGGCAGAGGGAGGCGGATCTCTGTGAGTTCAAGGCCAGCCTGGTCTACATAGTGAGTTCCAGGACAGCTGGGGCTTACAGGGAGACCCTGCTTCAAAAAGACCAAAAAAAAAAAAAAAAAAAAAAATCTTTTATGGTATAACAAATTTTTAGCATGTGCTGAATTTGTATTTTTCAAGAATTACTAAGTTTTGTCTCTAATAGATATATAATATGGCTTCTATGTATATATAACTGATATGAGTGTATTGTTACTCACATTATGTTGTTAACATCCTAACAAATTGTTTGTAGGTTGATGTGATTTTTGATGAAGATGCTGGATTTTTGAATGCAATCAAAACATTCATGGCAACAACTAAACGACCTGTAATCCTTACTACAAGTGGTAGGTAGCAATAATTTCAGTACAATTAATTTACTTTTTGTTGACGCATTTTCGGAGAGCTACTAACTTGAGCTAGAAATGTTACTTTACAAGTCATTTTGAATAAAGCAGAGTGTAGACTGGGGAGATTACTCAGGTAAAGTCCCTTTCTGTATAAATCTGGTGACCTCAGTTCAATTCCCAGAACCCACATAAAGGTAGAAGGAGAGAATTGACTCTGCATAGTTTCCCTCTGACTTCCACATTCATGTGCACACACCCATACAGAGACAAGCACATGGTATACACATGCACACAATAGTAATAGATACTTCTTTTTTTTTTTTTTTTTTTTTTGGTCTTTTTGAGACAGGGTCTCCTATAGCCCCAGCTGTCCTGGAACTCACTATGTAGACCAGGCTAGCCTTGAACTCACAGAGATCCACCTGCCTCTGCCTCCTGAGTGCTGGGATTAAAGGTGTGCACCACCACGCCCAGCATAGATAAATTTTTTAAATTTTAAAAAATACATATTTTATTTATTATTTTATGTATATGAGTGTATTTCCTGCAGGTATGTGAGTGCACCTGTGTCATGCAATGCCACGGAGGTCAGAAGAGGGCTTTGGATTCCCCTGGAACTGGAGTTAAGGACAGTTCATAGCTGCCACGTGGGTGCTGGGAATTGAACCTGGGTCCTCTGCAAGAGCAGTCAGTGCTTTTAACCACTGAGCCATCTCTCCAGCCCTAATTTTTTTTAATTTTTAAAATTTGTTTATTTTTTTGTGTATGAGTGTTTTGCCTGCATGTATATAAGTACACAAGTGTTGTACAAAGCCCTTGGAGGCCAGAAGTATATAGGATTGGAGTTACAGGCAGTTGTTAGCTACTATGTGGATGCTGAGAATCAAACCCAGGTCCTCTACAAGAGCAGCTAGTGCTCTTAGATGGGTGTGGTGGCACATGCCTTTAGTCCCAGCACTGGGAGGTATAGGCAGGCAGATCTCTGTGAGTTCAAGGCCAGTCTGGTCTACATAGTGAGTTCCAGGTCAGCTGAGGCTACAGGGAGACCCTGTCTCAAAAAAACCAAAAAAAAAAAAAAAAAAAAAGAGTAGCCAATGCTCTAAACTGCTAAGCTATCTCTCCAACCCCTAGATAAATTTATTTTTTTATTTTTTTATTTTTATTTTTATGTGTATGCATGTATTACCTGCATGTATGTAAGTGTATCTGGGTCATACAATACCTGCAGAGGACAGAAGAAGGCGTCAGATACCCTGGAACTGGAGTTATGGACAATTGTTAGCTGCTATGTGGGTGCTGGGAATCAAAACTCTTAACTGCTAAGCCATGTCTCCAGCCCCTAGGTGAATTTGTTTTTAATATTTAATTTATGATTTTTATTTTATGTGCATGCATGTATTGTCTGCATGTAGGTAAGTGCACCCGTGTCATGCAGTGCCTGAGGAGGACAGAAGAGACTGTTGGATCCCCTGGAACTGGAGTTACGGACAGTTGTTAGCTGCGATGTGGGTGCTGGGATTCAAACCCGACTCTTCTGCAAGAACAGTGTTCTTAACCACTGAGCCATTTCTCCAGCCCTCAGATAAATTTTTTTTAAAGCAAGATATAATGATTGTAAGTCCAGCATTCAGGAGGCAGGATCCTCACAAAATAACAGAACAAATAGCCTGGCATGGTGGCTCACACCTTTAATCCCAGCAGAGGCAGGCAAATCTCTAAGATTGAGTTCAGCCTGGTCTACATAGCAAGTTTTAGGAGCTACAGGGAGATCCTGTTTCAAAAACCAAAACAAAAAAACCTCCAAAACATCAGACACCTATAGATCCTGCTACTTGAAGCTGATGCAGTAGGACCTTTTAAGCTCAAAATTTCAAGGACAGCTTGGGTACCATAGCAAGACCCTATCTTGAAAACAGAAGAAACATGCATATACTGACACTTATGTGGTTGGGCATTGAGCTCAGTGGCAGAACACTTGCCTAGAATGTTCAAGGCTCTGAGTATGATCCTGAACACTATCCCCCTCCCTCCCCCAAAAAGTCAGTTTACAAATTGTCTAAAATGAGGAAGCTAGTTTTTTTACACTAAGAATTATTCACATTTTCAATTGACTTATAGCTTTCAATAATTATAAAATTGAGTGTGTTCTGGGCTGGAGAGATAGCTCAGCAGTTAAGAATACTGACTGTTCTTGCAGAAGACCAAGGTTCGAATCCCAGCACCCACATGGCAGCTAACACCTGCCTGTAACTCCAGTTCTCTTCTGACCTCCGTGGGCATTGCATGACACAGGTTCACTTACCTACATGCAGACAATATATACATACACATAAGATAGAATAAAAAATAATAAATAAAATATATTTTTAAAAAATACCATGACCTGGAGTTGGGGATTTTGCTCAGTGGTAGAGCGCTTGCCTAGCAAGTGCAAGGCCCTGGGTTTGGTCCTCAGCTCCGAAAAAAAAAAAAAAAAAAATTCCATGATCAAGAGCTGGAGGAATGACTCAGAGATTAAGAGCACTGGCTGCTCTTGCAGAAGAATGGGGTTCATTTCCTATCACCTACATGATAGCTAACTCCAGTTCCAGGGAATCTTACTCCCTCTTTTGGCCTCCACAGACATTGTATACATGAATGTGCTTACATACATGCAGACAATACACTCATACACATAAAATAAGAATAAATAAATAAAAATTAAAATATACCATGACCAAAAGCAACTTGGTGGGAAAAGGGTTTATTTCAGCTTATCCGATAGTCCTTCATCCAGGGAAGCCAGAACAGGAACTGAGAGGCAGGAACTGAAGCAGAGATCATGGAAGAATGTTGCTTACTGGCATCTCTCTCTCTCTGGCTTGCTCACTTACCTTTCTTATGCAGCCCAGGCTCCATGGCCTAGGGAGGGTACCTTCCAGGGTAGACTGAGCCCTCCTTTAACATCAGTTAGCAACTAAGAAAATGCCTCACAGACATGGCTACACAATCTGATCTGGGCATTTTTTTTTAGTTGAGGTTCTTCCTTCCCAGGAGATTCTAGATTTGTTGGCAGCAGCAGCTAGCTGACAACTGCCTAGAAACAGACTTAAAAACTAGTTAGGAAAAATACCAGATCTTCTCCTTGCCTCTTTATCATACCTATAGTTTGACTACCAAACTTAATTTACTGAAGTGTTTCCATATAAGCAAGCCTTTCTGCAGAGCCTCTGTGTGTGTGTGTGTGTGTGTGTGTGTGTGTGTGTGTGTGTGGGTGTGTGGGTGTGTTGGAGACAGGGTCTCCCTGTAGCCCCAGCTGTCCTGGAACTCACCATGTAGACCAGGCTGGCCTTGAACTCACAGAGATCCACCTGCCTCTGCCTCCGACGTGCTGGGATTAAAGGTGTGCGCCACCTCGCCCAGCTTTTTAACCACACTACCTAAACTAAGAACAGTGTTCCTGCCTCAGCCTCCCAGGTACTAGGATAAGGGTGTAAGCTACCTTACCAGTTCTCTGCAAATCCTTAATATTGAATTTCACCCTTCCCAGTCCCTGATGATACTTTCATGGGGATTTGTTGCATGTTTTAGCTAAAGTAAACCATCATCAGACTTGCAGAATTTTATCTACTTTCTTGGGTATTAGCATTAGATGTTTGGTTTTAAAACTTCATATAGTTTCTTGTTTGTTTGGTTTTTGAGGTAGTCTCACTAAGTGGCCCAGGCTGCCCTAGAACTCTTAATCCTCTTGGATCAGTCTCCAAATTGCTGGGATTATAGGTGTGTACTACCATGGTTAGCCTATAATTTTTAAAAATTTTATTACATTTATTTAGTGTATGTGTGTGCGTGCATGCGTGCGTGTGTGTGCGTGCATGGGCATGTGCCATAGCACATATGCCATAGCACACAACTAGAAATCAGCGGGCAACTTGCAGAATCAGTTCTCTTCTTCCCCCATGTGGGTCCTGGGGATCGGAACTCAGATCCTCATGCTTAGCAGCAAGTACCTTTATCCACTGAGCCACCTTACTGTCATATATATATATATATATATATATAGTGTGTGTGTGTGTGTGTGTGCGCGCGTGCAAGAAAACTAATTGGACTAGATGTGGTAGCAAATGCCCATTATCTGAGCATGCTGGAGGCTTAGACAGGAAGATTAAGGGCTGCATAGTTAGACCTTGTCTCAAAAAAAAAAAAACAACCAAACCCAACAACCATAAAATCCACCAAAATGTTCAAATATTCTGGTTAGTTCAGCTATGGATTTATATAGGAAAATATGTTTGTGTCAGCTAACTTGCTTTTTTTGTTTGCTTGTTTGGGGATGGAACTCAGTATCTTGTACATGCTAGTCATGCACTCAACTACTGAGCTACATCCCAAGTGCTTTACTTATTTTAAAATATGAAAATATTAATCATAAGTTAGGTGATAGTTTAATGAAAAGATCATATTTACTTTAAGTCACAACAAAAAGTTAGTTCCTTTAAGGATTGACAGTTTGTATGATGTTATAGTCTCCCTTCATCTCATGGGTGATTCTTCAGTGGATGCCTGGAAGCTTTAGTACCAAGCCCTACATATACCTTTTTATTTATTTATTTTTTGGCATTTTTGAGACAGGGTCTCCCTGTAGCCCCAGCTGGCTTGGAACTTGCTATGTAGACCATAACTACTACTCTTATGCTTTGGCACCTTGCTACCATGAACATCAGCTGATCTGATAACCAAGAGGGCCAAGTAGCCCAAGGGTAGGACACATATCCATCATTGACTAGACAGAGGTGACTCACATCCAGGGCAGGGGAGAATTTACCATGATAAGCAGAACGTCGCATAATTTAAAGTTTATGAATTATTTAGTTCTGCTGTTTTCCATGGTTGATTGCAGTACCTGAAAATGCTGAAAGCCAAACAATGGACTGGGAGTGACTACTGTACTTTCTTGTTTTTTTAGATTTATTTTATTTTTAATTATGTGTGTTTGGGGCTTATGAGCACAAGAGTGCAGATGCCCATAGGGGCCAGAGGTATTGGATCCCCTTAAGCTGGAGTAGGTGAACCACTCGATGTCGGTGCTGGGAACCAAACTGAGCCATGTCTCCAGTCACTATTGTACTTTCATTACTAAGGAAATACTGAACATTTTCATGGGAAAGTATAACTGAAAAAAGTTATTTAGTGCTGATAATGTTTTTATAAAACATGTTTGTTTTTTCTGCAGATCCAACATTTAGTTTGGTGTTTGATGGCTGCTTTGAAGAAATCAATTTCAATATTCCTTCTCTGGTAAGTTTTGAGTTTTGATGATCACATATTATATATAGCACAATTATATAAAAGGTGTCTTTTAAATCAAAGCTATACTTTAAAACTGTGATTTCTGGTATTAGAGAGATGGCTCAGCAGTTTTGAGCACTGATTGCTTGTAGCCCAGGGTTTTATCCTCAGCACCACCACATATATACACACATACAAAACCCATGGCTAGTGTCATATGCTTTATAATCCCAGCATTTGGTAGACTGAGATAGGATTGACAGTGTGAGACTAGCCTAGGTTACATACCAAGTTCTAGGCCAGCCTGGCTGTATAGCAAGACATTGTTTCACAAAAAGAAAAAGAAAAGAGAAAAGAGGCCCTGTTTTGGGACCAGCCCTGTTTGCTCCAGGCTGCTCCAGGGCTCACATCTCCCCTGCTTAGCTAGGTAGAGCCCGCTGACTCGACTCCCATCTTCCTGCTTTGACACTAGGCCCATTCTTGCTGCCAGAGAGCTCCCAACTAGACTCAAGTGTACCTTGAGGTATACCTCTCACCACTCATCAAAGAAGCTTCTTTTTGCAACAGATAGAGACTATTACAGAGTTCCACAACTGGTCACACACACAGCATAAGTGTTTGTGAGGTGTCCGGCCCTAAGTGACACATCTACAGTGTAACCTTTATATCTAAGTTTCAGAGAACATAGTGGAACAGGGGACAGAAAGAGTATTAATGCATCTTCAAGTCTCACCAGCGAAGCTTCCTCATGCAACAGATTATGATTAACCCAGAAAGCCACAACTGGCCAAAGTGCAGAGAATAAGAGACTGCAGAGAATATATCCCTGAATAGGACAACCTATATTAAATCTCTGCCACTTGTAGTTGATGTCTACAAGGAAACAGTTTTCTGGATAGCTGGGAAGTTACTCATATGAACTTACAGCAATGGTAACAGCATGCACAAGACCCATAAGTTTAAGCCAGACACAGTCCCAGCAGAGAAATAGGGAAATGGGTAAGAAGCCCCAACCTTAGCTGAGGAACTATTGGTGAGAAATAACTACTGGGAGGAGGAGAGTTGGTTTTCTTCAAGTGTGTGACACTACATAGGTTGACCAGACTAGTGGGTGAATGCACACTGCAGGACATTTTGGGGACACAAACATGACTTGATAGGCTTCAATATATATGACAGAGCACATGAAAACTGGAGAGATGTGTTAAGAGGGTTTGTAGATAGGGGAGAGGATCTAAATATTATCAAAATATATTGTATGAAACTCACAAAAATTCAATAATAAAAAGAAAAGGGCAGGATTATTGGAATACTCATAAAATAAAGCTTTCCTATCCATTAAGTCCCCAAATGTAAAAAAAATTTTTTTGGTCTTTTTTGAAACATGATCTCCCTGTAGCCCCAGCTGTCCTGGAACTCACTATGTAGACCAGGCTGGCGTTGAACTCACAGAGATCTCTACCTGCCCCTGCCTCCTGAAAAATATTTTTTTATATTTTTGTTTTATATTTACAAATACATGCGTTTCTATGCACTTGATGCAGTTTTTTGTTCTTTTTTAAAATTTTTGTGATTTTCATACAATACAGTTTGATGGTATTTAGATTCTTTTTCCACACCTCCCAATAGTGTCCCTGCCCAATTTAAGGCCTATAGAATCTGATTTGTGTCCCCAAATGTCCTTCAGTGTTGTTCCGTCCACTGGAGCCTGATTAACCTACCAAAGAGTCCCACCCTTGAAAGACATGGTCTCTCCCACTCCTAGCAGCCATCAGTTGCCAAAATTTCCTTGGATTGGGTTAAGGATTTGTACCCACTTGCCCATGTTAATGCTAGGATTTTGTCTGACTTGAGCTTGCATGGAATTTGTGTTTACTGTCACCATTGCTGTGAGTTCATATGAGTAACTGACCAGCTGTCTGGAAAACTTTATTTCCTGTGGTCATTCACTACTTCTGGTTCTTGCAGTCTTTCCTCTCTTCCAACATTGATCCCTGAGCCTTGTGAGGCAGAAGTTTGATGTAGGTATCCTATTCAGGATAAGGACTCTGCAACCACTTATTCTCTACACATTGGTCATATGTGGGTCATATGAAAGTTCAGAGATGCATTAATCTATGTGTATAACAATAAATCATTGAGTGAGTTTTGACATGATAATTATTTAGTTGAAAACTAGTATTAAACACCCCCCTTTGTCCTGTGACCTGTCTGTCCTCAGGTTCTTAGCCTGTAATCAGTGTCAGGTATAAGCTCTGTCCAATGAAGCAGACCTTAAATCCAAGTATAGAGTGGTTGGTTGTTCCCATAATATTTGTGCCACTATTGCACCGGTAGGCACATTTTGTCAGGCCAGTTATAGTTCACAGGATTCAGAGCTAGAGAAGGTTGATGATCATTTTTTCCTTCCGGTAGCATGCATAGCACATTTTTTTTTAAAGACAGGGTTTCCAGTACCCTCAGTTGACCTGGAACTCACTATGTAGACCAAACTAGTGATAGTCTCACAGAGATCCACCAGCCTCTGCCTCCTGAGTGCTTGATGGGATTAAAGATTTGTATCACCATGCCTGGTTTTATTCTTTTTTTTTTTTTTTAAGATTTATTTATGGGCTGGACAGATGGCTCAGTGGTTAAAGAGCACTGGCTACTCTTGCAGAAGACCCAGGTTCAGTCCCCAGCACTCACATTGCAGCTAACAATTGTCCTAACACCAGTTCCAGGGGATCTGACACCCTCTTCTGTCCCCCACAAGCATTACATAGCATGAGTACATTTATATACATGCTGACAATACACATTAAAAAAAAAAAAATTTAGAAGCCAGGTGTGGTGGCACATGCCTTTAATCCTAGCACTCCCTCCGGAGGCAGAGGCAGGTGGATCTCTGTGAGTTCTGAGGTCAGCTGGGGCTACAGGGAGACCCTGTCTCAAAAAGTCAAAAATAAAAACAAAACAAGCCAGTGAGGTGGCACTTGCCTCTAATCCTAGCACTTGGGATATGGAAGCAGGAGGATTAGATGTTCAGGGTTGTCCACTGCTATATAGCGGGTTCAGGACCAAACTGAGTTGCATGAGATTAGACCCCCTCCCCGCCACCACACACACACATACACGCACGCACGCACGCACGCACGCACACATGCACATGCACTTCCTTGTTGTCCTGTACTATATATAATAAATGCCTTTAGTTTGGTGGCATATGTCCTTGTATTTCCTAGAGAAATTCATTCTCAAAAAGAACTTAAAGATACTTTGAATTTTAGCAAAATTTGTCTTATTTATGGATATTATTCAGGTTTATTATCACTGTATTTCTGGTAATTTTGTAACTAACCATGTCTTTCTCTTTTTCTCTTTCTTCATTTTTTTAAGCTAAATGTTGCCAGCTACCTACAAATGATCTGCTTAGCTGAGAATTTCAGAACCGATGTAAAAGACTTTATAACCTTGTTGACTGCAAATGCTTGTGATATCAGAAAAAGTATCCTTTACCTACAGTTTTGGATTAGAAGTGGAGGTGGATTTTTAGAAGAAAAGTTGTTGTCACAATGTGGTAAGTTGATCTATTATAAGAGAAATTTCTATTATAAGACCATGTTCTTAAAAAATGTAATCTATCAAAATATCTATAAAACTTCAAGTCAGCCATAGTGGTACATGCCTTTAATCCCAGAGGCAGAGGCCAGCAGATCTCTGCAAGATCAAAACTGGCCTGGTTTACATGGTCTCCATAGTGAGTTCCAGTCCACTAAAAAAAGCTGGGCATTGTGGCACATGTCTTTAATCCCAGCACTTGGGATGCAGAAGCAAACGAATCTGAGATCAAGGCCAACCTGGTCTACATAGCAAGTTCCAGGCCAGCTGGGGCTACAGGGAGACCCTGTCTCAAAAAGACCAGAATAAAACAAAACCTCCAAATTTTGAACATCTGGTTATGCTAATTTTGCATCTAAAGATGTTTTTTGTAGACCAGACTGACTTTGATCTCACAGAAATCTGCCTGCCTCTGGAGTGCTGGGATTAAATGCATGTACCACCATGCTCAGCTCTATTTTTATTTTATTTTATTTTTTGGTCTTTTTGAGACAGGGTCTCTCTGTAGCCCCAGTTGTCCTGGAACTCACTATGTAGACCAAGCTGGCCTTGAACTCACAGAGATCCACCTGCCTCTGCCTCCCGAGTGCTAGGATTAAAGGAGTGTACCACCACGCCCAGCCTATTTTTATTATTTTAAGTTTACTTACATGTGTGTGTGGACACATGCATGTGAGTGTAGGTATCCTTGGAGGCCAGAGGCATTGGATCCCTCCCTGAATAGTATAGGTGGTTGTGAACTCCCCAACATTGGTGCTGGGAGTGGAACTTGGTTCCTCTGGAGGAGCAGTAAGTACTCTTAACCACTGATCCATCTCTCCAGCCCCTACTGTTTTTGTTTTTCAAGACAGGACCTCATATAGCCTAGGCATGTACCACCAAGCCTAGTTTAGTAAGTTCCTTTTTAGCTTATTTAATAATCTGTAATTCTAATTTTCCTATGAACTTTATTTCAGGAAAACTTATTTTCTACTGCTCTTCTGTCATTATTGTGATCTAATTATGGCACAAATAATTACTGATTACTTTCTCCACTCCAGATCATGTGTTTGCATGAATAAGCCCATTCCTTCCCTGTACAAGGTGTTAGTTTGTGTTTTGCCTGTTCTGTAGTCACAGTTCTGTAGTTAAGAGGTCCTGCTCACATTCTCAACTAAAACCAAGGTGAACAAACAATAAAGAAATGAAAAAACAAAGTGAAGGGGCTGGAGAGATGGCTCAGTGGTTAAGAACACTGACTGCTCTTGCAGAGGACCTGGGTTCAATTCCCAGCACCCACATGGTGGCTACGAACCATCCTTAACTCCAGATCTAGGGGAATCCGAAGCCCTCTTCTGACCTCTACGGCATTGCATGACATGGGTGCACTCACATACACGCAGGCAATACAAACACATAAAATAAAAAAAAAAAAACAAAGTGAAATTCTGTAATGTTGATTCCCTACAAATTTTCCCTTTAATTCATGATTTAAGCATTACTTTTCAATGTAGGCCCAACCATACATTTAATTCAATGTAAGCTGGTAGCTTCAACTATTTCTCAGAAGGTAAGTATGATGGGCACTACATACACAAAGAAAGTCAAGGTCATCCTCAGCTACAGAGTAAATTTGAAGTATCCTGAACTACATGAGACCCTGTAAATAATAAACTACATGAGGACCATAAAATAATAAAGTAGTCCTACTATAAACCAAAGTAAATAAGTAAATAGGAGATTGGTTTGACTCATTTTGCTTAGTTTAGATATTTTTTCAGATAATGATTACATTGTATTTTTATTGAATTAAATACATATATGGTAAGGAACAAAGTGTGGTATAAATCCAGAAGGTATCTGTCAGAAGATCTCGTGCTGCAGAACTCATAGTTTATTTGATATAATTCATTTAAAATATGTATACTATGATTTTTCTTTTATAATTTTACAGAAGGAAATAGCAGAAATGTACTGGTTTGCTCTGAAGATGGCCCCCATTCAAAGAAGAAAAATACTAAAAAGAATCGTGTAGCCCTTCCCAAATGCGACACCGGCTGTGTTGAGACTTTGTTTGGGCTCAGAAACATTTTTTCCCCATCCGAAGGTTTATTTTCATTTTTAAAGGTGTGTTCAATGTCTGTGTGGAGTGTTTAATTCATTTATGTTCCTTTCCCTCTTCTCCATATTACTCTTGTGTTTTGAATCTTAAGTTCAGGTTAAATTTACTTAACATTTTCTCGACAATAGATTTCCGATGTTAACACATTCTGCATTGTTGACAAATAGTTCGTAGACATTGCTTTAGGATAAGATTAAATTTAGAAACATTGCTGGGCATGGTGGTGCATGCCTGTTGTCCCAGTACTCTGGAGGCGAAGGCAGGTGGATCTCTGTGAGATGAGACCAGCCTGGTCTACATAGTGAGTTCCAGGTCAGCTGAGGCTGCAGGGGGGAGACCCTGTCTCAAAAAGCCAAAAAAAAAAAAAATTAGAAATATTTTTCTTCCTCTCTCCCTGCCTCCCAACCTCCCTTTTTTCTTTTTCCTTTTTCAATCTTGGGAATTGACCCTAGGGCCTACTGCATGTTGGGTAAGTGCTCTACCACTGAGCTATGTCCCCAGTCCAGTCATACATCATACATCATATTTTGATGTATTAACTATAGTCTGATAAAATTATATAAAGGGTAAAACCAGGTATGGTAGCAAGCGCCTTTAATCCCAACACTTGGGAGGAAGAGGCAGGTGGATCTCTGTGAGTTTGAGGCCAGGCTGGTCTACATAGTGAGTTCCAGGCCAGCTGGGGCTACAGGGAAACCCAGTCTCAAAACAAAACAAAACAAAACAAAACAACAAAAAATTTTATAAAGGATAGCAACTCAGTATTTTAAAGAAAGAAAAAGGGCTCAGCAAGGTAGTTCAGCAGAAAAAGATGCTTCCTGCCGAATCTAATGATCTGAGTTTGAATTCCTGGGACCCACATGGTGAAAGGGAAGACCACCTCTTGCAAGTTGTCCTCTGACCTTCACACATCCTATGGCACATGTTCTCTCCCAATAAGTGAATAAATTAATAAATAAATGTAGTTAGCCAGGCGTGGTGGCACACACCTGTAGTCCCAGCACTTGGGGGGCAGAGGCAGGCGGATCTCTGTGAGTTCAAGGCCAGCCTGGTCTACATAGTTCCAGGACAGCTGGGGCTACAGGGAGACCCTGCTTCAAAAAGACAAAAAAGAAAAAAATTTAAAAATTTTAAAAAAATGTAATTAAAACAATAATGATAGAATAGGGACAACTGAATTCATAAGGGCGGGAAAATGCCTAAACTATGTACTATTAAAAAATTTCTTTACTCAACATTGCTTTTTAGCACAAGATCACAACCAAGGAAGAATGGAATAAACTCATCCAGCTTCTCACAGAATTCCACATGGGGAATGTAGATTTTTTACATAGTAATCTTGAGTTCATTCTGCCATTACCAGTTGATGTCCTTCCAGAAGTACAAGATGCTTGTGGCTCATCAGTGACTGCAGATGGCAGTGCAGCAAGAAGCATCAAGTGTCTTCCCAGGAAACAGTCAGATCAGCCACTGAAAAAACCACAGAAGAAACAGAAGAAGATGGTGATCCTAGATGACAGTGACTTATTTGAGACTGGACTGGACTTTTCTGATGAATTTAGTAGCTTATCTCCTGCACTTTCCTCAAATTTAGAAGAAAGCACAGGCAGAGACAGAGAAAGCAACCTAGAGACAAAGACAAAAAATAAATGTTTAGAGCATGACTCTAAACCTGTTCCCCATCCTCCCAAAACACTAGCAGAAAAGAAGTGTTCTGTCCTTGTTTCCCATTGTTTAAATTCTCTCACTGAGTTCATGGATAACATGTCTTTCTTAGATGCTCTTTTAACAGACCCAAGGAAACAAAATGAATTTGGTAAAAATGACTTTCACTGGACAAGCGGAAAGGTTAAAAGCGGACTTTGTGATGAGTTTAGTCTTGAGAGCCCTGCTGGATGGACCTCCTGGGGTTCTGGGGAATTAAAGGCAGCTGCGGAAGCTCTCAGCTTCACCAAATGTTCTTCTTCTATTGCAAAAGCACTGGAATCCTTGAATTCATGCAAGAAATTAGGAAGAGATCCAAGCAATGATCTTACTTTCTATGTTTCACAAAGGCGCAGCAAAGTATGCTTTAGCCACTCAGCAGCTAACTTGGAGTAAGTATTTTTTCACCTTTGATTTTTTTTCTGTTATCATTCGCAGTGGTTCTTACTCATTTTAAAATGCTGGACTATTGATATTGGGAAACCCTTAATAATAATACAGCTTCTGCCAGGTGTAGTGGTGCATGCCTTTAATCCCAGCACTTGGGAGGCTGAGGCAGAGGCAGGCAGATCTCTGTGAGTTCAAGGCCATCCTGGTCTACATACATAGTAAGTTCCAGGCCAGCTGCAACTACAGGGAGACCCTGTCTCAAAACGACCAAAGGAAAAAAATGCAGCTTCTAATGTGAGTTAAGGAGACAGCTGGACTGTTGAGAAAACTAGGTTGGATGAGATTTGGGAAACCCTAGTGACAGAGGTTTGGACTTGGTGTGACAAATGACAAGTAGTCATTAAGATATTTCACTAAGGACTGGAGAGATGCTTAGAGGTTAACAGTACTGTTTGCTGTTACTGAGGACCCTGGTTTGGTTCTCAGCACCCACATAGGGGAGGCTCACAACAACCACCTGTAACTCCAGTTCCAGGGGATCCAGTGCCCTCTTCTCAGACACACAGTGGTACACATACACACAAATACACATAAATAAAATTATTTTCAAGATATTTCACTATGACACCAGGCAGAGTGGCACATGATGGTAATCACAGCACTTGGGAGGTAGAGGACAGAGGAACAAGTTTGATGCCAGTCTGAGCTACAATGAGATCCTATCTCTAAAACACAAGAGACTTTGCAGTATGGAGCTGGATATGGTAGTATATGCCTGTGATCCTATCACTCAGGCTGTGGTAATAGGATTGTAAGTTTGCAGCCAGCCTAAGGTGGTCTAGGCTATATGTGAGTGACTGATACTGATGATAGGAAATTGGAAGTTTCATTCTTTCTAGACCAGAGACAGGGGCACTAGCTATGTTTGGGATTGTTGCATTTTTATTGACAAACAAACAAAAAATAATGCATTACTCTTAATTTATAGCAATGCCGACAAGCCGACAGCAGTCATTAAAAGTGTGTTTTCTAGTCGAGCTCTTCTGAACGTGAATAATAAGCAAGCTAGTATAACTGAGTATCTGCCGGCTCTTCGGAACATTTGTCGAACTGAGAAGCTAAAAGAACAAGGAAAAAGTAAACGAAGGTAAAGTCTGGAAAATGAAGTATTTTAGATAGCAATGTCAAGATTAATGTGCTTGTGGGATGAAAATATTGATAGCAGATTTTTCTTGTAATTTTGTCAGGTTCCTGCACTACTTTGAAGGAATTCATCTGGACATTCCTAAAGAGACTGTGAATACCCTAGCAGCTGACTTTCCTTAATATTCCCCATTAATAATGTCTTGTATAGATTATATGATCCTAAGAAACATTTTTAAATTATGTTGATTTTCACAGAAAAGTTTATTTCTCTTAATGTAAATATAAAAGACTGTATTTTTTTGTTGTGTAAAAATTTAAAGTGATAAACTTGAAATACAAACTGTATATGTGACTTGACAGATTTTTTTTCTGAATGTTTTTATAGCCTCTGTTTTCACTTTGTTGGTGTGTGTGTGCTGTTTATAGAAGGCAGAGTTCACTAAGATGTGTCTCAAGATGTTTCTATGCTGAACTGATCTGTAACTTTTCCGTCCCCTTGTGTCCTGTCCACCCTCTGTTAGTCTGTCCTGTTGTGCATTGGAAACACCTACTTGGTAATCTCTCTATAGTTTACACAATGTAAAACAAAATTTCGTATGAAATATTTTTTAACTTCCTAGGAAGGAAATTGTGCTTCACTTTTCAACAGTGTTGAGCTTCCTCTCAGCTTTAGTTCGCGCATACTCCTCTAGCATGTTTTGCCACTGAATCATTGAATGTCGGCAAAATAAAATCCACATTCTGAACTCGTTTTTATAAATCTTTCTTAACACCCACTGTAGGTAATGTCTTGTATATTTTGCCAACTCAAATAATTTTTACATTTTCCTGTACTTTTAGATCATGATGTTTTACTTCATAAACACAATGACATTAATATTTAGACAAGTTGTTGTTGGTTGAAACGGTAACAAAGGATTCTACCATAGCTTCTATATAACAGCCATTTCCACTTATGGTTTGTTTTGTTCTGTTTTTGCAGTGCTGAGGATTAAGCTCAGGGCTTTGTGCATTCTTGACAAGCCCTCTATTAGTACTTACCTAGGCCTTATGGTTTTGCTTTTGAATTTTTTTGTGGTGCTAGAGAATAAACCCAGGGTCTTGTACATCCTATGGAAGCACTCAACCACTGAGTTAGAACCCCACTCTGATTGTGTTTGAGACATGTTCTGGCTGTATTGTCTAGGCTGGCCCTCAACTCCTAGGTTTAAGAAATCTCCTGCCTCAGTCCCTCACATACTGGGGACAATAGACATATGCTACCATACTTAACAAGGTTATGTTTCTTTTTTTTTTTTAAGTACTTATGTTTTACTTAGTAGCAAGATTTTAAAATGTCATATTTCCCTTAATGTTATTTTGCAGTCAGATAATCAGGTATGTTTAAAATTGCTCCATATTGCAAATGTTTATATTATGTAATAATTTAATATTCAGATACATTATCTGATGAATTGTATTTTTAACTCAAAAGGATCCTAGTTTTGTACTTTTTTAAAAGTATAGATGCATACCTGTTTACAAATGTGTATGAAGATGTGTTTTTAATCTCTTACTTGTTCAGCCTACCTATTCTTATATTAATTAGTAAATTGATCTGATTAAAAATTGAAGCTAAAGGCTTTCTGTGGTATTTAAATGGTTCAAGTTGTAATTATAGTAGTGTATATATATTGTATACATTCAGATAAACACTGCAACGTACATGCTTCTTCACTAAACACGAGAAAGTAAGGTTTTCTGAAGTTTTTTTTTTTTTTCTTTTATGTATATGCACCTGTGTCATGCAATGCCCAAGGAAGATAGAAGAAGGTATTGGATACCCTGGAACCTGGAGTTATGGACAGTTGTTAGCTGCCATGTGGGTGCTGGGATTCAAACCCGGGTCTTCTGCCAGAACAACCAGTGTTCCTAACTGCTGAGCCATCTCTCCAGCCCCTGAAGCTTTTATTATTTTTTTATTTTAGTATATGTTTATATTGCCTGCATGTGTGTAAGTGCACCTGTGTCATGCAATGCCCAAGGAAGATAGAAGAAGGTATTGGATACCCTGGACCTGGAGTTATGGACAGTTGTTAGCTGCCATGTGGGTGCTGGGATTTGAACCCTGGTCTTCTGCAAGAACAGCCAGTATTCGTAACCAGTGAGCCATCTTTCCAGCCCTGGTTTTCTGAAGCTTTTTACAAGTGCCCTCATCTGGTTTTTCCTTCTGAGTTCCTCCTATAGACACTTACCTGATAATTAGATATTTTATTATTAGGAATTCTCAACAACCAATATAATGAACCAATATAAAATAATTCCATAAAAATTCCAGGTTCAGAAATCAAGAAATGGGGGAACTTTGCTCCTTCATAAGGACACATCTGAGTTCAAGTTTTTTGGGTTTGTTTGTTTTGGGGTCTTTTTGAGACAGGGTCTCGCTGTATGGGGCTGACCTGGAACTAGTTCACTATGTAGACCAGGCTGGCTTTGAACTCAAGAGCTCTACCTGCTTCTGCCTCCTGAGTGCTAGGATTAAAGATGTGTGCCACCATGCCCAGCTTATTTTAGTTTTAATATAACTTGAGATTCTTTTTTTTTTCCATTACTAGGTTGTTAAACCTAAGCAACAGTTTACCACCAAGCTGTACTACAACCCGTCATTCTGAATTTTTTGCAGTTTCTTTTATAGTTTTGGTTTTGGTGGGAGAGTGTTTAGAACAGGATCTCACTGTTACCAAACTGGCCTCATACTCAAGATCCTCCAGCCTCTGCCTCCTAAGTGTGGAGATTACAGAGATGAAATACCAGCCCAACTAATGTTTGCTTTTATTGTTCTTTTTTTTTTTTTTTTTTTTTTTTTTTTTTTTGGTCTTTTTCAAGACCGGGTCTCCCACTAGCCCCAGCTGGCCTGGAACTCACTGTGTAGACCAGTCTGGCCTTGAACTCACAGAGATCCACCTGCCTCAGCCTCCCGAGTGCTGGGATTAAAGGTGTGTGCCACCACGCCTGGCCATATTTATTTTTTAAATAGTTTTTATTTTTTTGTCTTTTTGAGTTGGGGGTCTCCCTGTAGCCCCAGCTGGCCTAGAACTCACTATGTAGACCAGGCTGGTCTTTGAACGCTCAGAGATCTGCCTGCCTCTGCCTCCTGAGTGCTGGGATTCAAGGTATGGACCACCATACCCGGCTACTTATTTTTAAGTGTGTGTGTGTGGTGTGCAGGGGCCAAAGACGGTATCAAATCTCTTGGAGCTACAGTTTTCCACCACCCAGCATGGGTGCTAGGAACCTAACTCTGGTCCTCTGCAGGGCTTAATGGCCATCTTTCCAACCCACTGGAAGTAACTTTTTGCTGTGTGTATGTGACATCTTACTGTTTAACACTTAAACACTGAAGGCGTAGAATCTCATAAAATATATATTGATTTGGTTTTGTCTTATTGTGTATACTATTTCAAGGCCAAAAGTCTAACTTCATAAACGCAGAAAATACATTCAACATGTTTTCTTCTCTTTTAACACAGAAATGAGAGCAGTTTTTAACAATAACAACACCAGAGATGTGCATTACTACCGGAATTCAAAGCCATTGTCAAAAACTAACTCATAGAAAGCAACAGCTTGTAATAGCGAATCATACAGCTCTTCAATCCTGTGTGAGTCCGTGAGAAATGCCTGTCTGTAGCGCACTACTTTCTCTGGTGGAAAGATCACCCGGGGCTGCTCTTTCAGGACAGACTCAGACAGGAGCTGCTTCACCAGCTCTTTCCCACTCGTCCTTGTGTCACCAATCATCAGGTCAAAGTGCTTGCCCACTACATTTCGTTTTATGCTCAGCACCTGATGCTGGCCATCCTGGGCAAAGGTTTTGTTTAATAAGGCATACAGCATAGCTTCCGTGATAAGAAAATGCAACAGTATAGGAAACAGAGACGTGTTCTGAATGGAAAGTCCTGATTTTTCCAGAACGTAGAAGTCTGCTTTAGGCATCTTTGAAATGACTGAAGAAATCTAGAAAGAAAGAAAGAATTCATTAAGTTTCGTGTTTGGGTACGCTTCTGTCCCTTTTCTATTTTAGAATACATAATAGGGCAACCTACATGGCTATTGACAATTCTGAAATAACTGAAAAAGCTTCATATTGGCAGACCAATGGTCATGGTGCTCAGGAAGGAGCTGAGTACAGATACTCTGTTCAGTCCTAACAGTTTCTTCAGTTCTTAAAAATATTTTATTTTTATGTGTATGAATGTATTGCCTACATGTATGTCAGCGCACCCGTATCATGCAGTGCCGCAGAGGTCAGAAGAGGGTTTCGGATTCCCCTGGAACTGATGTTAAGGACGATTCGTAGCCACATGTGGGTGCTGGGAATTGAACAACCTGGGTCCTCTGCAAGAGCAGTCAGTGCTCTTAACCACTGAGCCATCTCCTCAGCCCTAGTTTTTTTTTTGTTTTTTGTGGGGTTTTTTGGGCTTTTTGAGACAGGGTCTCCCTGTAGCCCGAGCTGGCCTGGAACTCTATAGACCAGGCTGGCCTCGAATTCACAAAGATCCACCTACCTCTACCTCCCGAGTGCTGGGATTAAAGGTGTATGCCACCATGCCAGGCTCACCCCCAGTTTTTAAATATATATTGGCTTTAAGACTTATTAATCAGCCAGGCATGGTGGTGCAGGCCTTTAATCCCAGCACTTGGGAGGCAGAGGCAGGCAGATCTTTGTGAGTTCAAAGCCAGCCTGGTCTATATAGCTTTGTGAGTTCCAGGCCAGCTAGGACTACAAGGAGATCCTGTTTCAAATAAAACAAGCCGGGCATGGTGGTGCATGCCTTTAATCCCAGCACTCGGGAGGCAGAGGCAGGCGGATCTCTGAGTTCCAGGCCAGCCTGGTCTACATAGTGAGTTCCAGGACAGCTGGGGCTGTAGGGAGACCCTGTCTCAAAAAGACCAAAACAAACAAACAAAAAGACTTAATCATTTAAACTGGATAGAGCAGTGTTGGAACCAGTCAGGAAGTGGTCATCTCTGCACATGGCAAGGTTCCTGGCTGAAGCATCTTGTCATTAGGCACATCATCGGCAGGATGCCCATACCTAACGATTTCACATCCTAAAGACTTGAAGGAGACAAGATCTCGAAATTTGAAGAAAAGCTTTCTAAATATAAAACTGGTCAGGGCTGGAGGGATGGTTCAGTGGTTAAGAACACTGGCTGTTCTTACAGAAGACCTGGGTTCAAATCCCAGCACCCACATGGCACCTAACAACTGTCTGTAACTCCAGTTCCATGGTATCTGACAGCCTCTTCTGTCTTCCACAGGCATTGCACAACATGAGTGCACTTACATACATGCAGGCATTACACACATACAAAAAATATTTTTTAAAAAAATTATTAAAAAATATATAAAACTGGTGATTGTCTATAACACTGAGTAATGTACTCCTCAGTCTTTAATATTGGCCTTTGATATAAAGGTGGGTTTTTTTTCTTTCTTTGGTTTCTTGAGAGAGACAGGGTCTCCCTGTATCCCCAGCTGGCCTTGAACTCACTATGTAGACTAGGCTGGCCTCCTCTCAGAGACCCACCTGCTTCTGCCTCCCAAATGCTTGGATTAAAGGCATGAGCCACCACACTCAGCTAAAAGTTATTTCTTTCATTGAAAACAATACAAAACTTAACCATTATGAGTGCATAATGATGCAAATAAAGCCCAAAGACCCATCTTTACTATTTTATTACATTCCTTTTGGAACTACCAGACTTAACAGCACAAGGAACTACGGAACTAAGGAGCAAAACACAACAAAGGAGACAAGGAACAGGAATTTGGAGGTGCGACTGCCTTACCTCTTCCAGATAGACAGATGATGGGTATGTTCTGTTACTTAATTTCCAACACTCAGTTTGCTGCCAGTCTAGCACTGTCAATTTACGATCAAGGTGAGCCCACGCAATTCTTCGAGTACCAAAAACAATAGATACGATACTGTTAACTGCCTAAAGGAAAAGGGCTAGTTTAATAACAGGTGTAAACATTTTACAGATAAAAAAGCTAATCTACAAACTCAGAATGCCTAACCTTTGTGATAGGAATTTATTTACAGTTTATAAGCTAAGATATTGAAAGTGTTACCAGGGCCTGTGCTGTATACTGGGCGAAAATATCTACCTTTGAAGAAATAAGCCATCACACACCTACTGCAGAGAGGGGGTCAGGGAAGGATTACTAGAAGACTGGGAGAATCAGTAACTGGTAAATGACGTTATTTCACCCAGATCTACAGACTGACATCTCACACTCAGGCAGTAGAATAAAGATGGGAAAGAGAGGAAATGCCAAATTTCTGTAAAGTAGTTTGTTTTATTCTGAGAACTCCAGGGGACTACTAAAACCCTCTCCCCCTTTGAGATAGGATCTCTCTATGAAACCTGGGCTGGGATTAAACTCATGATCCTCCTGCTTCAATTCCCTAAGTGGTGAAGATCACAGGTGTGGGCCACTACATTTGTCTCCCAAACAATTCGTTTTGTGTTTTTTGTTTTGTTTTTTAATGGTCTCACTATGTAGCCCTGGCTGGTGTGAGCTCACTATATACACCAGGCTGGCCTCAATCTCACAGAAATCAGCCTGAGTGCTGGGATTAAAGACATGTTTCCTTGTAATCCCAGTAATCTCTAGACTGAAACAAAAGGATTGCCATGAGTTCAAGGCCAGCCTGGACTACACTGAGACCCTATCTTTTTTTTTTTTTTTTTTTTTTTTTTTTTTTTTTTGTTCATGAGATCCCCTAAGCTCCACTTTTCTTTCTCCATCTGCCTTTTGACCACACCCTACTCAATGACAGCTATTGGAATTTTGGACAAGAAATCTAGCATTGCACAAACAATTATTGAATTGCATAAGACACTTGAATTCAAAGTGATTAAAAATATTTACCCCTCAGAAAAATTTCCGATAGCTGTGTGGGAGATAAATTAAACAACTACACGGAAAGGAATCTGAGTGGGCATGGTGGCACATGCCTTTAATCCCAGCACTCAGGAGGCAGAGGCAGGCAGATCTCTGTGAGTTCCAGGCCAGCCTGGTCTACACAGTGAGGTCCCGGCCAGCTGGAGCTACAGGGAAACCCTGTCTCAAAAATACCAAAAATAAAAAAGGGGTGGGGGAGGGGTCTGAATCAGGGACTTCAAGAGACACAAGATGAGAAGATGAGCCCCAAATTAGAAAATGTTTGCAAAATACATCTGGTAAAAGGTTTATACTGAGTTAAGTATCTTTTTTTTTCTCATATTTTATGTGTATATTGCCTGCGTGTAGGTAAGTGCACCCGTGTCATGCAATGCCCGCAGAGGACAGAAGAGGCTGTTGGATCCCCTGGAACTGGAGTTATGGACAGTTGTTAGCTGCCATGTGGGTGATGGGATTCGAACCTGGGTCTTCTGCAAGAACACTCAGTGTTCTTAACCTCTGAGCCATCTCTCCAGCCCCCTGGGTAAGTATCTTAAAGACAGAATAACAGCTGAGCTTGGTACTCGCTGTGATCCCACCACATGGGAGGCAGAGGCCAAAGCTTACAAGTTCAAGGCCAGTGTAGGCTACTTAACAAGATGTCTTTAAAAAAAAAAAAAAAAAAGAAGAAGAAGAAGAAAGGGGCTGGAGAGCTGGCTCAGCAGTTAAGAGCACTGACTGCTCTTGCAGAGGGCCCGGGTTTGATTCCCAGCACCCACATGGTGGCTACGAACCATCCTTAACTCCAGTTCCAGGGGAATCCAACGCCCTCTTCTGACCTCCATGGCACTGCACGACACGGGTGCACTTACACACATGCAGGCAATACATTCATAGAAAATAAAAATAAAAATTTTTTTAAAAATTAAAAAACAAAAAGAACAGTGAGGAGTGGGGAATGGAGAAGAGTAATGAGTAATGGGGTGAAGAACAGTGAGGACGCAGAGACAGGGGGAACCTTCAGGCTTGCTGGCCAGCCAGCCTAGCCTAGCACCAATAGCGGAGTCCCAGAGCAGTGACAGACTCTGTCTCAAAAACACAAGACGGGGCCAGCAAGATAGCTCAGTAGGCAAAGGCAATTGCCACCAAGCCTGGCAACATGAGTTCATTTCTGGAACTTACACGGTAAAAGGAGAGAACCAACTCCCCAAGTTGTCCTCTGAAGCCTTGACATGCTTGTGTGTTCATGTACCCACACATAAAACAAAATATATACCACTTTTTGGTTTCTTAGCTCAATAACTCTCAAGTGCTACTTGGCATGACCTAATAACAATAACCACCTGCACATGGCACTTCCTTAGGCAGATTTTTTTTTTTTTTTTTTTTGGGTCTTTTTGAGACAGGGTCTCCCTGTAGCCCCAGCTGGCCTGGAACTCATGTGAACTTGCAGAGATCCACCTGCCTCTACCTCTGCTCCCCAAGTGCTGGGACTATAAGTATGCACCATCATGCCCGTCAATAAAATAATGTTTAAAGAAAGAAGAAACCAACAAAACTTGTGGTGGAAGTAACTCCTCAACCCACTGCCCAAAAGTGCTTCAAAAATAAGTTGATGCTAGGCAGTCAGAAAGGATTTACCTTAAGTCTCTCTTCTTCTACATCTGGTTTGATGAACTTTCTCAGGGGTGGTTTTTCTTTTCCTTTTTTCCTTCCAGTCTCTGAACAAAGAATGGAACTACAAACTTGAACAGCAGTTTTATGTTGGAACAAGGGCACATTTATCAAACTCTCCAAATTCTCAAATGGCCCAAATTTTTTCCTGTGTTCTGAAATACTGATGGACTTTCTTCCACGAAGCAATCTGAAACCTTTGAGTTCTTTATCAGATGCTGTGTTCAATACATGCAAAATAGAAGCCCGCTCTTCTGGAGAGAAGAGCTTGTCCAGTGTACTTCCAGGCTCCTTTGCATTTGCATCAGGGGCAGCACCACCAACCCTGCCCAGGACCTTCTCAGGTGCAGTAGATTTTTTTCGACAGTAGAAATTTAGGGCTGGAGGATGGAATGACTCCTCTACTGGAAACCATCTCCACCTCCCTAAAAGGAATAGAGAGTTTAAAGTGAGGCGTCCTCCTTTTCAGTGCCAATTCCCAAGCTTGACCAGATTCTTCACAGCCAAAAAGACTTGCACATAATTTAAGAAATACTAAAATAGCCGGGCGTGGTGGCATACGCCTGTACTCCCAGCACTTGGGAGGCAGAGGCCAGTGGATCTCTGTGAGTTCAAGACCAGCCTGGTCTACATAGTGAGTTCCAGGACAGCTGGGGCTACAGGGAGACACTGTCTCAAAAAAAAAAGAAATACTAAACTGCATTATTATAGAAACTCATCTTTAAAATGAGGGTACTTTTAAAATGATATAGTTAACTCTATAGTTTGAGGTTTTCATTATTTGTGGTTGTTTTTTGAGACAGGGTCTCCCTATGTAGCCATGACTGGTCTCAAACTCACTATGGAGACCAGGATGGCATTGAACTCATAGAAATCCATTGGCGTGTACCTTCTGAATGCTAGGATTACAGGCATGCAACACTCTATAATTGTGTTTTTTAAACTTGAGTTTTTGTTATTTTTAATTCACAAGAAAGTCTTATTACCTAGAAATTGTACTTTATGCCCAGCAAGAAGCTGTAGTTGACGGTTGGGTGTGGAGGTACAACTGTAATCTCAGTACTGGGGAGGAAGAGGCAGGAGGATTGCCAAAATTTTGAGGTCAGTCTGGTTTACATAGCAAGTACCAGGCTAGCCATGGATAACAGGGACCCTATGGTACATGTCCACATCCCAGCACTTTAGGAGGCACAGGCAGGATAAGACTCAAGGCAAGACTCAGCTACATATCAAGTTTGAGGACAATCTGGGCTACATGAGACCTGTCTCAAAACACCATTTAAAAAAGTTGTAGTTGCCAGGTGTGGTGGTGCACGCCTTTAATCCCAGCACTCAGGAGGCAGAGGCAGGTGGATCTCTGTGAGTTGAAGGCCAGCCTGGTCTATATAGTGAGTTCCAAGCCAGCTGGGGCTACAGGGAGACCCTATCTCAAAAAGACCAAAAAAAAAAGTTGTAGTTAAGGTAGGGTCAGTGGGTGGAACAACTGCCTAGCAAGGCCTTGGGTTCTATGCCTAGAACAAGTTCTTTTAGTTAAAATTATTTCAATTGTGGGAGATTTCTGATAATTTATAGTGGTGAAGGGTTCTTTTTGTGACATGTCTCTTAAGATTTACCCACTTCAGGGGCTGGAGAGTTGGCTCAGTGGTTAAGAGCACTGACTGCTCTTGCAGAGGACCCAGGTTTGATTCCCAGCACCCACATGGTGGCTACAAAATGTCCTTAACTCCAGTTCCAGGGGAATCCAAAGCCCTCTTTTGACCTCCGCAGCATTGCATGACACGGGTGCACTCACATACACGCAGGCAATACACTCATACACATAAAATAAAAATAATTTTTTTTAAAAAGACTTACCCAATTCCTTTTAGTTCTCATCCGATGGAACTAAATAAAACAAAAACTTACAACTGGAGAGATGGCTCAGCAGTTAAGAATACTGGCTGTTTTTGCAGAAGATCCAGGTTCAAATCCCAGCACCCACATGGCAGCTAACAACTGTCTGTAACTCCAGTCCCAGGGGATCCGACAGCCTCTTCTGTCCTCCGTGGGCATTGCACAACCCAGGCGCACTTACCTGCATGCAGGCAATACATGTATACACATAAAATAAAAATAATAA